CATTCATTAACGTAGATACTTCCAATTAGAATTCCAGATCACAGGTGTTTTACTTAACCTGGTCATTTCCGCGCGTTTCAATGATCGGCGTGTCCTCTGCTTTTTCGGATTCTGTTGACCTTTCTGGTGCTTTATGATTCCGTGGTTTCATGTCCTTCAGGAATTTGGGGAAATCGTTGGCTGTGAGCTTCACATATGGCTTCTGTCCTCCGTGTACCTCTCTCCAGAGCCTCTTCACCGTGACCATGTTCTTATTTTCTTTCTGTGTTTTCCATCTTTTTGTGTTTTTTTTTGTCATGTTTCAGTCTGATTATCGTCTTCTGGCCTCTCTTCCAGTTTAACAATTTCTTCTTCAGCTATGATTAATCCCAATTATTATTGTATTATCTTCAGTTATCTTGCATTTTTCAGTTCCTTAAATTTCCATTTTATTTCGATTATCCAGTTCTTCATCCTACCTTCTGTTTCTTGAGCAGATTGGAAGTAGCTAGCATCCTGGCTGATCCCTAACACGGGCCCTGCAACTCCTCTCATTGCCCTCCGCCCTCTCGTTTTTGGCCTAATTGTTATCTTTTTGCATTCCTGGTTATTTTTATCAACTGCTAAATATTATGCATGAAAATGACGGTTATTTATCTGCTATTGATAATGTTATCATCCTCCAAAGAGGACTTACTTTGCCCAGGTGTGCAGGTGGGGTGCACGCAGCAGTAGCTTGCAGCAGTAGCTTACAGCATGCGGTGAAGGCTTGGGCTGGACCCGCTCTCCGAGAAGGAAACTCTGCCTTCAGTTCACCCTCCTGCAGGCTGTAGCTCGTCAGCACTCCTATAGAAACTGAGATATTTACCATGGCTGCTGTGCCTTGCTAGAATGTTCTGTCCTATCAGTTCAGAGACTGCCAAAGGCTTTCCTCAGCTTTTCAACCTTCTTTTTGTTGTCTTTAATTTTATTTAAACGTATTTATTTACATTCACCCACTGTACATCATTACAGTGTACGGAATGAGCTTTTCCCTCCAGAGTACACTGTATATTGGCTTGATCAAGGGTGTTCTCATTCGTGTGATCGTCAACAAATCATTTTCCATTTCTTGTTTCTTAAATCTGCTGCTGCTTTCCCCTTGTTTCCCTCCCTCTCACCCCCCTGGCGTTCCCCACCCTCCTCCCACACTGTCTCTGGGGTCTAGTGCTGTTCTCCATGCCTTTTTTCCACATTTTATTAATTTACAGACAATCTCGATTAATGTAAGCCCCTCCAGCAGCAAGTGCAGGGTACATACAGATCCGTGTACGGTATAGCCAGCTGCCCAGATCACGCGCACGAGATGCGAAAACTGGCAAGAGAGACGGCAAGGGCCCTCGGCCTTCTGGGTGCTGCTCTTGAGTCACCCGATGCCTTGAGAGACACAGCACCTACCTGTGGGGTTTCCTGCTCCAGGGCGTCTCGGTCCCTCAAGTCTTAGGCGAACTGGTAGCTATGCGACACCTTCCACGCACCTTTAAATTTTGTTCACACTTTTAATTATGGTAGGTGGAAGCATTGGTCTTAAATGAACCAGCTCAAAATTCTCAGAAGCAGATAACATAGTATACCCTTGAGCTAGCTCCACGCATCTTTTGGTTACACATAAGTCAGACTAACTTATTCTTAGCCGTGTAACACACACATGTATACACACGTAAAACTGTATGTGTGTGTGCTTATTTGTCTGTTATATAACTGGATCCAAGACACCTTTTGGAGGAATGCTTCCTTTTTTGTTTGTTTTGGTTTTAGAACCTGATATTTATGTTTTTAGAAGATGTGAGTTTTCTGAGGTCGTTTGGTAGCAGTAAGAACAAAACAAAGCAGCAAAAACTACAACAGAACACAGGTGAAATCTCTTACCCTGGCATAGGCTGAGCAGGCGTTTGGAGAAGAGACGGAGAGGGAAATTAGAGCAGACGGGCTGGAGCAGCCTGACACTGAGACACTGTTGCGGCAGCTGGAAGTGTGGAGAAGGTCTGCTGTTCAAAGTTAGGTATTAAAAACCAAGATAGTTCTGTGATTGTGTTGCGGGAAACATTTAATAGGTCTTTTGAATATAGAGAGTCAAGTTTTTGCAGATGGTTTAAAAACACAGAAAAAGAAGAGGAAGGAGAAGAGGAAGGTGAAGAAGAAGGTGAAGAAGAAGAGGGAAAGAAGAGCGGGGTGAGTGCTTGTTAAGGACAGCCTGACTGACGCGTCCACAGACCAGCCCGAGATCAGCCGGGGCAGGCGAGCAGCTCCTGGAGGAAGCGACAGCTCAGATGAGGCAGGAGAAGGAGCGGAGTGGAGGTAAGAACGTCGGGGTCAGAGAGCCGCAAATCTCCAGGCAGGACATGGGTATGCGGTAGAGGGTCTCGACCCTAACTTGTGGAGATACCAGAGAATCGGCCTCTTCAGTTGACACCCGGATATCTCTTATGCGGTTGTGGGAAACTCATGACTTGATTTTTATGTTTTTCTGTGCAAGAATAGTCATGGCGTTCTGGCAATCCAGCGTATTCACATTCGAGACCCGAGATCTATGCGGGCCTTCCGCAGAAGCGCCAAGAGGACGGCGCCAGGGGGGATGCGTTCCTGCCTCACTAAGGACTCCCACCCCAGACCGCGAGCTTCAGCCCTCGGCCGCCGGCTCGCCGCTCCGCGCTGAGAACCGTCCCTGGAAGTGCTTCTGAACTGACCTCAGCCTTTCCACAGGGAACCACGAATGAAAAACAGACTGCCTAGAACGTTCTTGAAGATAAGTCTAGGTTAATACATCAGACTACGAATTAGAATACGAGGCACTTTTCTTTTTGATAGTGAAATTTCAATTTTTTATTTACTGAATATTTGTGACCACACTTGACATTTGAAATATTCTTGCCACTACATTCTTAAGCCCTGAAAAAAGACAGTTCCACAGACTCTGTCTTCCAGTACTGCTACTGAAGAAACAAAACGGAAGTCAACTGCCGGCCTCGTGCTGGGGTTAGAGTCCCGGCATTCGCCGGGTGAGCCTAGTTCCCCTCCACCCGTGGCCACCGGCGGGAAGGGCTTCTGCTCGTAGCAGACTGGGGCGTCTTCCGCGGCGCGTCCACCTCCGCACGCAGGCCTCGAGGGTGCGTGTCTCCACCGCGGTCCTGCGGCACAGCCGGCGGCCTGGCTACACTGTTAGAGGGTGGGGCACTGCAGGTGGGCGACAGCGCACTCTAGGCTCTCCCTCGAATCGCGTGCCATCGTTCTCACAGTGGTGGCTCAGGACTGAGCTCCAGGACTTTCCCACTGCCATTGCTACGGCTGAGGTGGGGCCAAGTTAAGCTGGGCCATCCGCCCTCCTGACAGTGACCTGCTGGCACTTCACACCTTGGCAGGTTTCTGTTCTTGTCCTGCATTTGCCCTGCAGTTTATTCAGGTTAAAGAATGTGGCAGCATCTTGCTTCCAGAGGTCAGGACTCTAGCCCTGGCTTGGGGTGGGTCCCCATCCTCCTGGGCTGTGGCAGGACTCTAACCCTGTCTTGGGGTGGACCCCTGTCCTCCCTGGGCTGTGGCAGGACTCTAACCCTGTCTCGGGGGGGTTCCCGTCCTCCCTGGGCTGTGGCAGGACTCTAGCCCTGTCTCGGGGTAGACCCCTGTCCTCCCTGGACTGTGGCAGGACTCTAGCCCTGTCTCGGGGGGGGCCCCGTCCTCCCTGGGCTGTGGCAGGACTCTAGCCCTGGCTCGGGGTGGACCCCTGTCCTCCCTGGGCTGTGGCAGGACTCTAGCCCTGGCTCGGGGTGGACCCCTGTCCTCCCTGGGCTGTGGCAGGACTCTAGCCCTGGCTCGGGGTGGACCCCTGTCCTCCCTGGGCTGTGGCAGGACTCTAGCCCTGGCTCGGGGTGGACCCCTGTCCTCCCTGGGCTGTGGCAGGACTCTAGCCCTGGCTCGGGGTGGACCCCTGTCCTCCCTGGGCTGTGGCAGGACTCTAGCCCTGGCTCGGGGTGGACCCCTGTCCTCCCTGGGCTGTGGCAGGACTCTAGCCCTGGCTCGGGGTGGACCCCTGTCCTCCCTGGGCTGTGGCAGGACTCTAGCCCTGGCTCGGGGTGGACCCCTGTCCTCCCTGGGCTGTGGCAGGACTCTAGCCCTGGCTCGGGGTGGACCCCTGTCCTCCCTGGGCTGTGGCAGGACTCTAGCCCTGGCTCGGGGTGGACCCCTGTCCTCCCTGGGCTGTGGCAGGACTCTAGCCCTGGCTCGGGGTGGACCCCTGTCCTCCCTGGGCTGTGGCAGGACTCTAGCCCTGTCTCAGGGTGGGTCCCTGTCCTCCCTGGGCTGTGGCACGGGACTCTACCTGGTTGCATTCTCCTTCGTTTCGAATGTGAGGTCTGTGGATTTGAGCTCTACCCCCCACACCCTCCGCACTCCCCCAGGACTCTGTTCACAGATCAGCTTCTTCCCTGAGAACGTTTTACGATTAGCCCTGGAGATATGACAGACTCGCTCTTCACCTGGACTGGTCGTGTGCAGCCTGCGTCCAAACCCCTCGCTCCTGAGCGCCACCTCAGTTCCTTAGACAGCCCTCAGCAGCGGGGCTGCGCCTTACTCGCAGTCCAAAACAACATCCGGGCGTAAGTCTGCAAGAACCCGAGACTTCACCTCTGCCGAGTGGGGAAGGTGTTTCCGGGGCTGACTCCTGATGCTTCCAGCGTGGGAGACTATGGTAGCACCACCTTGCTGAGCTGCGGAGGCTGCTGTGGGGGCCTGGGAGCTGCGGGGGCCTGGTGATGGTACCTCCAAGTCTGCTGGGTAGAGAGTTGTTTCTATAATGTAGTCTCAGGGATATGCCAGTGAGCTCAGTTTGCCGGAGCAGAAATTCGAACACGGCCTTACATCCCGACGGGATCCCTCCCGACCTCGCTGTCGCCTTGGGCTGCTGGTGCCCGTGCCTGCATGTGGAGTGATTGGAAGTGGGCAGCCGTGGGGACGCGCGGCTCCCTCCCTCCCGCCGCACAGGGACTGACCTGTGATGACCAGCTGGGTCACGGAGAAGGTCACTCTGGACGTCCTCTTCTGCCTCCCCATGGAGAACAGCACCGTGGTGTTCCCGACGGTGGTGAAGACGAAGAGGACACACAAGGTTATCCACTGCTCAGTCTGTAAGAACAGGAAGCCAGTGTGCCAGTGAGGACCAGGGCAGTCCCCAGATGCACAGCCCAGGCTCTGCCATCCGTCCCCTTTCGGGCTCTACTCTCAAAGGGACAGTGACAAATGGTCACCATTTTTACCAGCAGCAAAATAAATGGATGCACTCTTTAAAAATTCTACTTGGAAGTATTTGTCAAGAGAACAAGCATTTTTTTTTTCTTAAAGTTTGTATTTTTTTGGTCAAGTAATTTAAACTGTATGGAAAAGAGTTCAAGGTATAAAAAGAACATTTACTATAAGACAAAAATGGAAATTATTTAAAGATAACAGGATAGCTCAGCAAACAAAGCACTTCAGTTCAGCAAACTGTAATATTACGTAGTGACTGATGATGACGGCCATGCCGCAACATTAAACGCTTAGGGTATAATGGCAAGTGGGGAGACGTGATACAGTTACACATTGGCTATGATTGCAACTCTGCAAAATTGTACACATAGGAAACAGGCCGAGGCACGGTACGGTTTTAGAGTGGTTATTTTAGGGTAGTGTGATTATGGGTTATCCTTTTTCTTTGACAGAATTTCATAAGATGGTAATAGTAAAGTTTCACTGAATAATGTATAATTAGTTAAGGTTTAAAAAGGCAGGAATACTGCTAACCTCAACTGCCAAGTCCTTTAAAAAAGGGTTTCCATGATTGCTTCAAACAGAACCTTTATGTTCTTTAAAATCCACAGCCCAGAGGAAGTAAAAGCCCAGGGGCTGGGAGAGGCTGGACACAGGAGGGACCAGGCTGGGCCAGGCAGAAGAACGTGCACCCAGGGAACTCCAGGACCAGCCCCACGCCAAGTCAAATGCCCAGTGGGGCCGTCGGCCCCAAGGTCTGGCAGGCCCCTGGAAGAAGGCCCAAGTCTGGCTGACTGCAGGAGAGCTAAGTGCTGTGTGGGGAGCCGGGTCCCACACGCCCAGCTGTGGTTTGAATCTGAGCCCTGACGGCTTGAAAAACACTCAGGGTGCATGAGCGTCAGGGTCCCCAAAGCCCGAGGGGACGGCAAGTGGAGGGACAGGGCTGTAGTGTGACATGGTCAGTGAGCGCGCGCTCTCGCTCTCGCTCTCTCGCTCTCTCGCTCTCTCGCTCTCTCGCTCTTGCTCTCTCGCTCTCGCTCTCTCACTCTCTCGCTCTCGCTCTCCCGCTCTCTCGCTCTCGCTCTCTCACTCTCTCGCTCTCGCTCTCTCTCTCGCTCTCTCTCTCTCGCGCTTTCTCTCTCCCTTTCTCTCTCTGCTCTGTTTATCCCCCCCAAGAAAGTATTTTAAGTACTTTGTTTCCATCATGCTATTCTGAGCCCATTACTTGGTAGGGTGATTAAAGATTGCTTTTGGCAGGAGAAGAGAAGACGATGTGTGTGTTACTTCCATGACTGTTAGTTCTCTCCCTCTCTCGCTCTCGCTCTCTCGCTCTCTCGCTCTCGCTCTCTCGCTCTCTCGCTCTCGCTCTCTCGCTCTCGCTCTTGCTCTCTCGCTCTCTCGCTCTCGCTCTTGCTCTCTCGCTCTCTCGCTCTCTCGCTCTCGCTCTCGCTCTCTCGCTCTCTCGCTCTCTCGCTCTCGCTCTCTCTCTCCCTCTCTGACAGTTGTGTGCTCTCTCTGGCATTATAAAAAGAGAAAAAAGAAAGTTAGAGGCCAGCAGGTGCTGGGTGGTTAAGGTGCAGTACCCACGTGGCCAACTGCATGGTTCAAGTCCCGGACCTGATGGCTTGGCAGTCATGCTGGGCATGTGTGCATCAGAGCCCGAAGCAGAGAATGGAGAAGGAATTGCAGCGTAGCCATCCCCCTGGGGTGGTTTCTCGCTTTCCCTCTCTGTCTCTCGCGGATGAATGCAGGTGTCCTATGGAAGAGGAGAGGGGATTGCAGCAGGCCATCCCCCGGTGGGGGTGACTTCCCACCTCCTCTCTGTCTCTCTCCATGTCTCTGGCAAGTGCACACCCCCTGTGGCAACAGGAAAACATGCTAGTCTGAGCCTGGAGTCTGCAGAGCATCTCTCACTTAGGGAGAAGATAAGAAGAGGGACTGTAAATGATCCCCTTTAAATCTCATGTGTCAGCTTGGCGAAGACACGTCAAAGTCCAGCCAAGAGGTCGCGGGGCAGGTATTTTGTGGCTGTAGTTAACATGACCGTTCGTCGACTTCGATGAAGCAGATCACCCTCCACAATGTGGCAGGCCACATCTAATGAGCTGAAGACCATAAGAGCAAAGCTGAAGTTTCCAGGAGAGGAAGAAATTCTTCCTCAAGATTGTAATATAGGGGCCAGCAGGTGGTGTAGTGGTTAAGGGCGCTGGACTCCCACATGGCCGACTGCAGTTCAAATCCCGGACCTGGCGGCTTGCTTTCTCACTTTCCCTCTCTCTCTCTTCTCCTCCTCTTGCTCTTGCTCTGTCCCTCTCTGGTCAAATTAAAATAAATAAATAAAGTTAAATAAAATAATTATTTAAAAAACATTCCGGGAACCAGCAGTTAGCATAATGGCTATGTCGCTGGACTCCCACGTAGTCTACCGTGGTTCACGTCCCGGACCCGGTGGCTTAAAGCTCACGCCGGGTGCGTGTGCGTGCATGCCCAAGATCCCGAGAGGAGAATGGAGGAGAAGGGATTGGGGCGTGGCCATCCCCCCTGGGGGGTGATTTCTTGCTTTCTGTCTCTATGTCTCTGTCTGTCTGGCGAGTGCACACGCTCTATAGCAAAAAATCTCTCTAAAAAAAAAAAAAAAAGAGAAAAGAAAAAAAAAATTCCAACATAAAAATCATGCCTGGGTCAGCTGCATGGCCTAGTGGTTAAAGCAGCCAGATTCCACATGGCTAATCAGAGGTTTGAATAAAACACAGCAGGCAGGTGTGCATGCGTGCACACACCCTGACAGGGTGGAGAGGGGAGAAGGGATTGCAACATGACTCACCTCCCTCTCCACTCGCTCTCTGTCTCTGACTCTTTCTGGCGAACAACAAACCATGCCGGGGTGTTCAACCTGCCACTGGCTTGCAGATTTCTCACCTGCCGGTCCTCATAATTGCGTGAGCAATCTCCTTCCCCCAACACACACACACCCATGTGCACACACACACAAGCGCACACACGCGTTGTGCATCCCCAGTCCCAGACTCCAGAATTTGACATGCTCGGAACCCCCACGTTTTGCATGCGAGCGTGACTCCACACGTGGCGATTTTATGCCTGGCATCATACGATGGGCTGCAGTCCGCGGCTGCACAATGCCGAGTGAGAAGTCTGTGGAAGGCGTGTCTGAAGCATGAGCAAATCTTGTGTCTAGACGTGATCTTATCTCCAAAGTGTCTTGTGATGTGTATGCAAATATTTCAAAATCTGGAAAAATTGTAAATCCCAAACATTTCTGGTCCTAAGCTTTTCAGATAAGGGATGCTTGACCAGTGTGAGTGTGCACGTGTGTGTGTGCGTGTGCATGTGTGTGACACACTGTCTTCTCCTTAAGTTCTGCCCTCCCAATGTACTCCTATTGATTCTGTTTCTCTGGAAAACCTGGCCGATACACTTCCTGAGTCCCTGAGGCACCCCAGCAGCCCCATTTTCTCTTATTTTACAAATTAATTCAGCAGTGTGGTGATTGAAATGGCTGAATCCTACCTGTCCAACTCTGCAGTTCAAGCCCAGACTGGTGGCTTAAGAAACATAATTGGGGGAACCAGCAGTTAGCGTAATGGCTATGTCGTTGGACTCTCATGTAGTTGACCGTGGTTCGCGTCCCGGACCCGGTGGCTTAAAACTCACGCCAGGCGTGTGTGCGTGTGTGTGACCAAGATCCCGAGAGGAGAATGGAGGAGAAGGGATTGCGGCGTGGCCATCCCCCCTGGGGGTGATTTCTCGCTTTCTGTCTTTCTGTCTCTCTCTCTCTGTCTTTCTGGCGAGCGCACGCGCCCTATAGCAAAAACCTCTCCAAAAGAAAAAAGAAAAAAAAAGTAACATAATTGGGCCATTAGCCCTAGAACCTGTGCAGTGCAGTGGCAGCCAGTGAGAACAACTGAGGCTGGAGACCACCTCGAAACCTCCACTGTCTCCTCACTGTTCCAGGTACCCAGACCGTCCCACTCTCACCTCCCTCCACCATTAGCCCCAGAACCCGCACAGCAGCAGTCGGAACAACTGAGGCAGGAGAGCACGTAGAAATACTATCAGATTTCATAGTTTTCTGAGGTATGCAGCATGCAATGCCTGCTTTCTCCTCCAGCTGAAACCCTACAGCCTAGCCCCGGGTACACCTGTTCTCAAGACACTGGGAGGCCATCGGGATGTGCAGTTCTATAGATCACTGTGCAAGTTGCAGGGTGAGTGTCAGGGAGACAGAGCTGCAGAGGGACTGTGACTATCTTCCATCTACACACCTTTGAACTCTCTGAATTAACTCCAAGAAATTAGGAAGAAATAGATAATCCTTCAGATGACTGAAAACCAGCACAGAGGCACAAGAAATGAGAAATGAAGAGAATATCTCTCCCCCAAGTGAAAAGAACAGGTCCTCATCACCCACAGACAGTACAATACAACTCATGGAAATGTTAGATAAACAAATCAGAATATTCATAGTAAGAAATCTAAATGAGATGCAAGAGAAAAGAGACAACAAGCTCCAGGAGATAGGGAAGTTCTCCCATGATTTGAAAGAATAAAAAGATGTCATAAAAAAGAATCAAACAGAACTGTTAGAGACGAAGGCTATGATACCGAAAATCAAAATCTGTATCAGAAGCATATTAGGTCATTCAGAAGATTGAATCTTGGATCTAGAAGACAAAACCTCTGAACTAGAAAAATATCACCAAATAGAATGAAAAAACGACCAAAAAAAAGATAATATATGGGAAATACTAGATGTCATTAAATGCCCAAACATCTGAATGACTGGTATCCCAGAAGGTGGATAATCTAATAAGGGAATTGATAATCTACTCCATGAAGTCCTGGAAGAAAACTTTCCAAGACCAGGGAAGCATTCAAACATCCAGACCCAAGAAATACAAAGGGCCCCAAATAGAATCAACCCAAGAAGATCCGCTCCATAGCATATTATAGCCAGATTGGCCAAAATCCACAGATAAAGAGAAGATTCTAAAAATGGCAATAGAGAAATATCAAGTTACTTGCAAAGGTTAGCCCATCAGGCTAACATTGGACCTCTCACTGGAAACAATACAAGCAAGGAAAGAATGAGATGATATATTCAAAATGTTAAAAGAATAACAACTTCAACCAATATTACTATACTGACAAGATTATATTTCAAATGCGAAGAAAATATAAAAAACATTTTCAGATAAACAAATCCTGAAAGAATTTACCAGCACCAGACCAGCTCTTCGAGAAGTGCTGAAGGG